CGTAAATCACTTCATTTCATAAATCTAGTACAATTACGATGAATGGTTATAATTGCTAATAATATGTAAACTATCGCGTTGGGTAAGCTTTTAAAACTCGTCTCGCATCTCAAATTATTGAATCAGTTTTTTTTTCTCCGCTTGATATCCCATATCAATCACTTCTGAAATGAGTCAAGCCGTCAATTATCAATAAATCATGCGCACTACTACCTTGTAAAAGATGACTTTTTCTTCTGAACAATTTCGTCTACCCAAAACCTTCTTTCCAATTTATGAAAACAGCATAAAACTTCCGTAACCTAATATTTGACTCGGTATCCTAACCTCTATGTTTGATTGATATGAGCTCCTATTTGCATGTAAGATAACATAATAGCCATTTTTCAGCGCAAACGATATACCCACCAATAGCTACATGGCAGTAGGCTTTTCCAACGATGATTCGATGGTTCGTGCTATTATCGCTCAAATCGTTAGGAATAAGAATGTATATTCTTTTTAGGGAAGCGATGCAGTAACACAGTGCACATTTCCACCAGGAGCACAACCAAGTGTTCACTTCAGTTATAATGTTGGCAAATCTAACGTTGTTCCACTTTCGGAAGCTGATCAGGTAAAAGCATACCTGAGTGTTTAGCAAAAATAGTTTTTCAAAAACTTGGACTTCCTTGAGAGCACATTTATGTTTCCAGGCAGCTGAGAAACAGAATTTAAAGCTTATTCATGCCCACAAAGGAGACGACGGCATGTACTGTCATTTCAGACAGAGAAGTGGAAATGTACGTCCAGTAATCGGTATCATTTGTCTATTCTTCAAAAATATTCATTTAGGGTGAGAACAGATTTGTTCCCTATCTGAACCAAAAGCATCACATTTTTCTGGCACGAGGAATAGCAAAAGATCCTAGAGGTACATGGATCGAATTAATAATTAAAATACTAACTGCCAATGCTTTTTTAGTCTTGGATATGCATGCTCTCAGCTCCGATTCACCAAATTTCCCTTACATATCTGACAAGAAGATTAATGTGGGCGACGTTAAAAAGAGAGAAGTTCCTGCAGAGGGTGAGGATTTGATAAGTTTGTGAAGGGACTCTTTTCCAATTCGCCTTGTCGTTTCGGCAATGGAACGGAAAATCAAGGAATGATTTCTCGATCATGAGGCTTTATTCCGTCATAAAAAGTGAAGAAAAATTCAAATTTTACAGCTATTCGGACAACAAGAATTAGGTTAACTTTTTGAAATCGGCATTAGCATCAGTGCTGCGATTTTAAATAATGAAACAAGTAGCGAAATATCTGATATCTAGGTCCATCTGCTCCAGGTGCTGT